ACTAGAAGCTGGCTCTGAACTAAGGGCGACTAGAAGCTGGCTCTGAACTTGTATTGGTGACCAGCCTGTTCGCTAACTAGATATAAATCTGACAGTTTTGGAGGTTGTTCTGAAGCGTATTTCACAAAATAATTCATTTTAAGACGATGAAGGAATTGCTGAATGTACAATTAGCACATTTTATATCGATCACAATAATAAACTAAATTCTTTGATTTCTGTGCGTGCAGTCACGAGGCCGAGCGTCTGGAGCAGGAGGCCCGGGGGAAGATGGAGAGGCAGCGGATCACCGACCAGGCCGAGAATGAGAAAGCCAGGAGGGAGCTGCTGGAGCTGGAGGCTCTCAGGTAACCATGGGGTCATGGGGTCAACTGGTGAATGGTGTGTTATTATACATCATAGTACCCAGCAGTGTATAAAGTCATTAAAATTAGCTCTATCTTTACCAGCTGCAACATTAAAGTGAATGCATGACTATAATACAATAATATATACATTATTCTGCAGAATGACTTTCAAAGTAAATATTTAATGCAAGACGTTTACCTGTAACAATGTGGTAATACTACTTTTACTGTGTTTTTTTCAGTGCTGCGGTGGAGAGTACAGGAGCTGCCAAGGCTGAAGCTCAGTCTCGTGCCGAGGCGGCTCGTATTCAGGGAGAGGCGGCGGTCAACGAGGCCAAACTGAAGGCTGAAGCTCAGAAGATCGAGGCGGTATGTCCTGACTTCCTGTTTCACCTTTCAACTTAAAAACTCAAGTAAGGGGAACTAGAAGCTATCTCTAAACCTTTCAACATAAAACTCACTACACAGCAGTACTGGAAGAAGTACTCGGATATTTCACTTTGGTATAAGTAGTAGTACCATAGTGTCTGTTCGTCTGCAAAGTTAAACTGTGTGTGTGTGCAGGAAGCGGAGCTCCAGCGGCTGGCGAAGGCTCGTGAGCAGGAGCTGAGCTACAAGAAGCAGATGGACATGCTGGATGTGGACAAGCAGAAGAACCTGTCTCAAATCGAGAGTCAGCGCTTTAGTCAGCTGGTGGAGAGTCTGGGCAGCGACACGCTGAGGGAGATAGCCAGAGCCGGGCCTGAGCTGCAGGTACTACTACTAGTACTATCACTAGTACTGCTACAACTACCATTACTACTGCTATTACCACTATTGCTAATGCTACTACTGTTACTACTACAACTACTGCTATTACTACTACGACCGCTGCTGCTTCTATAACTACTCCTGCTACTATAACCACCACTACTACTATTTCCACTACTACTACCATCTAGCCTCTAACATTCTAAACTCAAGTCCTCTTACCGACTTATTTTTCTCCAGCAGATCTTTTTAAAATACTCATCATAGGTTAATAACTCTCCGTGTGTTTCTCGTCCTCCAGGTGAAGATGCTTCAGGCTCTGGGTTTGAAGTCGACCCTCATCACAGACGGGTCGTCTCCCATCAACCTCTTCACCACAGCCAACGGCCTGCTGGGGGCGCTGTCTGGACAGGGACAGGGAGAGTGAGAGAGGAGGGGAGAGGGGGAATAGATTGTCCAAAAGTAAACCTCAACAGATTCTCATCTTTCTGACACTTTAAACTGACTTTCAAAGTTCTCATACGACATTCAGATCATTACTATCCGACAACGCTGTCAACACTGTTAGCGGTGTTACTGTTGTTAGCACGGTTAGCTCTGTCAACACTGTTAGCACTGTTGGATCTCTTAGCACTGTTAGCTTCAGCCTTCGCCATGTTGAGAGCCATATGGAGGCAACAGAAATGCTCTAAATATTGTATTTATCACTTTTAAATCAAAACAATGTGCCTTTTCATTTAAAGATGAACTTCATGGTTTTGTTAAATCTCACTCAGTGCATCTTAATCTCATGTTGTCAGAAAACTGACACTAACATGTAACTAATATGTTCTAACACCAGTGTTCTAACACCATGTTAGAACACTGGTGTTAGAACATATTAGTTACTATGACGTTCTCTTTTCTACCTTTAATGAACCTTGTTTCTGCTGGTGGAAGCTGTCACCTCGCTGTGATGTGTGTTTACAGGTGAAACATTTAAAAATGCTGAACAGCAGAACTTTTGGACTTTAAGCTCTTTAAAAATAAGAGAATCAGAGGTTTACTTTTGGACATAAAACCAGCATGAAGACACCGCTATCGGTGAAACATTTAAACAAACCTGAGCTGCAAGAGAAGAAGAAATGTGCCTACAAACAAATCTCCAGTTTGTTCAGTCGTATAATCTGACAACCAAAGATTCCTGTTTTCTGCTTTGCACTTGGTCCTCTAGAAGTAGAGAGCAGCACTTTATGCTGATGTTCGTCTACATATTAAACTCTGATGGTCTGACTGTCGTCTTCACAAAGTGCTGTTGTTTCTGAATAAAGAACATTAAACCAGTGGGGGCTCGTCAATAGAGGGCGCTAGAGCGCCGCCACAACAAATAAAATTAAAGCTGCGAGCAGCGATGAACGGGCCCTCGCATCCTCCAGCGCGTCGGGGGTGGCGGCGGGACTCCGGCCTGCACGGCCGAGAACGTCCGCGACCGTCGGACGTTCAGATGTACACATGTACAAAGTTGCATGAGTTTTTGAGCATCCCAACCCACTAAACCATCAACTTCCTTTTTCATGGCGAACGATGCGTCGCCACGGCAACAGCGTTCAACGAAAACTCACAATATTCATGATGATGCATCATCAATGTCTTAAGGCTATCCTTACCAAATTTGAGACTCATCAGGTCACCTGGCTAGGAGGAATAATTAAAAGTATAAAATATGACATTTCCTTTCGCCAGTAGGCGGCGCTATGAATTATTGAATTGTTTTCAATTGAAGTATGTTCAGGCTTGAAGTAGCATCATGCAGAAGAAGTTTTGTGCGGATTGGATAATGTACCTTGGAGTTATAACAACTTATAAGAACTTCTTTTTTTCATAAACAATGAGGCAAAATGGCCACCGCGCCACGTCAAGGTTCTTTGATGAAAACTCTCGATTTTGATAACTTTTAATCACAAAGGTCTTAAGAGCATCCTGACCAAAGAAGAAGTTGATCGCTTAATATCTGTAGGAGGAGTTCGTTAAAGTCTCTAGAGAGCCATTTGTTTACACAGAAAGATGCATCATTTTTCAGATGGCTATATTCACCAGGCCTGACAAGTCCCCAAAATTTGGTGACTTATATGTATGTATGTATATATGTGTGTATATGTGTGAATATATGTATATATGTATGTAT